CTGCGCGCTTAGTAAAGGGCGCATTCGAGGGTTTAGGGTTTAGGGTTTACGCCCTGGGGTTTAGGTTCGACGGGTTAGGGTTTAGGGTTTAGGGTTTAGCGTTTAGGGTTTACATACCTGCTCCGTCTCTTCAATTGCTGAGGCGACCGAAGCTGCTTCTGACTGGACTTTGTGCAGAGCCAATTCAATTGAAGGCTGCGCGAAAAAATTATAAACCCTAAACCCTAAACCCTAAACCCTAAATCTAGAGTCTGGCCCGTTGGAGGAAGAACTATGCGTTTCACAAGGGGTAGAAGTACCGGTCTAAACCCTAAACTTCAAACCGTCGCGTGAAAGTTAACACTGCGCCAAACCCTAAACCCTAAACCCTAAACCCTAAACCCTGAACCCTCACTTTCAAATTGGTTTGAATCTCCTCGTCTGTCAAAGTTGATAAGTCCTTCACCAGTCTTTGTATTTGGACGAGGCAGCCCTTTTCAAACAGCAGCCGCACTGCATGCAACATCCACAAAGAGGTTTAGGGTTTAGGGTTTAGGGTTTAGGGTTTAGGGTTTAGGTTTAGGGTTTAGGGTTGAGGGTTTAGGGTTTGCGGTGAATAATTTACATTAATTCATTTCAATTTATTTAATTTTTAATTTTTTAATTATTTAATTTATAATGGTTTTACTTTTTTGAATTTAATGATTTTTCATTTCTTTTGTTGATTCACTTTTATGTTTCCAGTTTCTCTTGGGATTTATTTCTTTTATCTTATTTTATTTTATTTTATTTTATTTTATTTCCGTTATACTTTTATCTTATTTCATTTTTAGTTTATTTCTATAACCTTTTTATTTTGTTTTTCGTTATTTTGTTTTATTTTATTTCATTTTACTTTCTTTCATTTCATTTTACGGATTATATTTTATTTATGTATTTTTTGTTTGCTTTCTCTTTATTCTTTTCTATCGCGTTTTATTTCTTTTTCTTCCACTTCCTTTTATTCCTTTTTACTTGTTTTATTTCATTCTATTGTATCTTCACTTATTTTATTTTATTAATTTAATTTAATTTTATTAATTTAATTTTATCAATTCAATTTTATCTAATTTTATTTAATTCATTTTAAATTAAATCTAAATTAAATTAAATTAAATTAAATTAATTATTTTATTAAACACCTTTTTCTGTTTCCATTTTTTCTTCTGTCTCTTTTGTCTTTTCTTCCGCTTCTTTTATTTCCCTCTTTAAAGTCGCCACGCTCTCCTCCACCTAAACCCCAAAACCCTAAACCCTAAACCCTAAACCCTAAAGCCTAAACCCTCAAGTGGGTGACGGAGTTTACGCGGTTTATACAGTAGGGCCTTTCATGTGCATTTTTTAAAATACATTCTTCTCGTTGAAGCATATTAATATTATTTATTTATTTATTTGTATATTTATTTACTTATTCATTATTTATTTATTCATTTATTTATTTATTTATTTATATATTCATTTTTTAGTTATTTATTGTCAGTTTATTTTGTTATTTATTCATTTATTATTTATTTAGTTGGTTTGTCATTTATTGCTCTTTCGTTCGTTTTATATTCGAGACTCTTTCGTAAACCCTAAACCCTAAACCCTAAACCCTAAACCCTTGGGCACAGACCTTAAGCGAGGCTCACGTAAACCCTAAACCCCAAACCCTAAACCCTAAACCCTAGACCCGAACCTGAGTGAGGTCTGAAGTGGAGGCCTCCAGTTCATTTTCAATTTTGTTTCCTTTTTCTGTAAGACACAGGACAAAACACTAAACCCTAAACCCTAAACCCTATGCTCTCAACCCTAAACCCTAAACCCTAAACCCTAAACGCTAAAACTTGCACTTTTATTATTTATTTCCTATTCTTTTTTCGCCTTTTAACTCCCAATTAGGCCTTTCGGAAACCCCCAACAGCAGCAGCAGCACCAGAGTCGCCAAGTGGGAAACTCGCAAACAAACTCAACAAAATGTTACATGAAATGAAACCCTTCAACCGCTTTCGAAAACCCTTTCTTTTTCTTCTCCGCAAAACCCTAATTTCGATTTTCAGTCTTGCAAAATTCTAATTTGAAGTGCAACTAAGAGCACTTTTACTTTTCTCCAGGGTTGTCAGCTAGGGTTTAGGGTTTGCAGCTCAGTGCTGTGCTGTCCGCTAGGGTTTAGGGTTTGGGGTCTTGGTGCTGTCAACCAGGGTTTGGGGTTTAGATCTCAGTGCTGTCAACTAGGGTTTGGGGTTTAGATCTCAGTGCTGTCAACTAGGGTTTAGGGATCGGTGTTTTCTACTAGGGTTTAGAGCTCGGTGCCGAAAACTAGGACTTAGGGTTTAGGGCTAGGTGCTAGAATTTAGGGTTTAGGGTTTAGAGCTCGCTGCGTGTTTTGGCGCTTTTTTGTTTTGTGGATTGAACAAGCTACCAATATTTCAATACAAAAGGATGTTTCCTGATAGCCGCTAGCAGCAGTTATGGGAATAATATCTAAACCCTGAGCAGTGGGTCTATTTCTTGGTCTGCTTATGACCTGTTTTTTATTTTTTAACTTTTTAATTCTCAATTTAGTTTAATTTCGTTTTAAATTGTTTTCTTTTCTTTGCTGCTCAATTAAATCCATTTTGCATTAATTTGCACTTCACAAAAAAGAAAAAAGAAAAAAAGAAAACGAAGAAAAGAAAACCAAAAGAGACATTTCATTAAAGATTTGAAGACCCAGAAGCAAAACACAACCAAACTAAATGCAGCAGCAGCAGCCGCAACACCAACAGCAGCAGCAGCAGCAGCAGCAAAAGCAGCAACAGCACCAGCAACAGCAGTAGCAGCAGCACAGCAGCAGCAGCAGCAGCGCTTGCCTTCCGCTTCTTTGAGTTTGAGTTCAATTGATTTAATTTGTCTTTCCAAATTGTACTTTTGCTGCAGCTCATTTGTCTTTCTTTTCGGCTCTTGGCCCGCACAAAGAGACTCCCGCTTCGCCAGCAGCTGCAGCCGCAAACCCTAAACCCTAAACCCTAAACCCTAAACCCTAGGGTGTGGGAATTTGGGCCAAATGAGAGAACAATTGTGAAACAAGTTCGAAGAAAAAGAAAAGGAAAAAGAACCAAAACAAAACAAATAAAACAAACGAAACAAACAAAACAAATAAAATAATAAAACAGATATAACAAATAAAATTAAATTTAATTAATAAAGAATTGAAAATTAAATAAATAAAAACCTGAAAAAGTCCCTTCAAAAGGTCACAAATTGGAAAAAAAAGAAAACGAAAAAGTAGCAAAACAAAGTAAATAAAGCAAATAAAATAAAAAACAAACAAAACAAATAAAACAAGCAAAAAAATAAAACGAATAAAACAATAAAACAATAAAACAAATAAAATAAAATAAAAATGAAAAAGAAATAAATGAACAAATAAAATAAAAACCTGAAGAAGTTCCTCCAACAAATGGTCACAAATTCGAAGAATAAAAGAAAAAGAAAAAGTACCAAAATAAAGCAAAAAAAAGAAATAAAACAAAATAAAACAAATAAAGCAAATAATGCAAATAAAGTAAAACAAATAAAACAAATAAAATAAAACAACTGTAACAAATAAAACAAATAAAATACAAATAAAAAATAAATAAAATAAAAACCTGAAGAAGTTCCTTCAAAAGAAGCTCTTGAGTTTTTTTTATTTGAATTTCTTTTATTTCCATCTTCCGAATTTCTCGCCGCATCGCCGCCAACTCCGCCTGAAACAAAATTGATCATTTTAAATAAATAAATAAATAAATAAATAAATAAATAAATAAATAAATAGATAATAAATAAATAGTTTTAATTAATTAATTAACTGGTTAATTGATTACTGCCTGGACAACTAGTTAGTTAGCTAGCTAGCTAGCTACCTAGCTAGCTAGTCAGCTAGCTAGCTAGCTAGCTAGCTAGCTACCTAGCTAGCTAGTCAGCTAGCTAGCTAGCTAGCTAGCTAGCTACCTAGCTAGCCGCTTGGTTAGCTGGCTATTCAGCTGGCTGGCTAGCTATTCAACTAGCTGACTGGCTGGCTAGCTAAGGGGCTAGCAAACAGGCTAGCTAGCTAGCTAGCTAGCTAGCTAGCTAGCTAGCTAACTAACCAACTGCATAGCTAGCTAGCTAGCTAACAAACAAACAAACTAACTAACTAACTGACTAGCTAACTAACTAGCTAGCTAGCCGTTTATCTAGCTAGCTAGCTAGCTAGCTAGCTGGCCAGCTAGCTAGCTAGCCAGCAGCACCTGTCCAAGGTTGGGGTCTACAGCTTGTTGCATTTCCTTTTCGAGTTTAATCTTTTCTTCCCATAAAGCAATTTCTCTTTCGAGGTTTAAAGTTTCTTCCAAACTCCGCTCCCTCTCCGCTTCCGTCTTCTGCGCACAAACACCCGCTGGCTAGCTGGCTAGCTGGCTGGCTAGCTGGCTGGAGGTCTAGCTGGGTAGCTGGCTTGCTGGCTAGCTAGGTGGCTAGTTTGCTAGCTAGCTGGTTAGCCAGCTGGCGAGCTAGCTGGGTAGCTAGCTGGGTAGTTCGCTGGATAGCTAGCTGGATAACTGCCTGGCTAGCTAGCTGCCCTTTGGCTAGCTGGCCAGCTAGTTAGCCAGCTAGCTACCTAGCTAGCTGGCTAGCTAGCTAGCTGGCTAGCCAGCTGGCTAGCTAGATGGCTGGCTAGCTCGCTGGCTAGCTAGCTAGCTAGCTAGCTAGCTAGCTGTTGGGTGGGACCTTGATGCTTTGGAGCAGCGCTTCTTTGGCGGCGAGCTTTTGCTGGAGCTTCAGTCTGTTCTCTTCTGCTGCTGCGTTTGCTTCCTGCTGCTGCTGCTGCTGCTGCTGCTTGAAGGCAGCTAGCTGCCGCTGCACCCGCTCAGCTAGCTGCTGCTGCGCCCGCAGCTCCCCCTGCAACTTGGCTAGCTCCTTTTTGCTGCTGCTGACTGCAGCAGCAACTCGCTGGCTGCGCTGCTGCCGAATGAGGATTTCGTCTTTCTTTGCTGCTACCTGCAGCACTCAATTATTTGTTTATTTACTTGTTTATTTTATTTATTTATTTATTTGTTTATTTATTTATTTTGTTTGTTTTATTTATTTCGTTGTTTTGTTTGCTTTTTATTCCGGCAGTTTCGCCAGCTTAAACGGCTTCTGGGCTTGGGCGCGACGCAAAAACCGAGGGTTTAGGGTTTAGGGTTTAGGGTTTAGGGTTTAGGGTTTAGGGCTTAGGGTTTCGGAAGCAAGGAGTGGCGGTGCAAGTCTTGCGCCCTGATCTGCAAACGCTAAACCTTAACGCCTAAACCGCAAACCCTAAACGCCAAACCCTAAACCCTAAACCCTAAACCCTCACTTCTTCTTTTTTCTCGCTAATTTTGGTTTGCAAATTTAGTAAGTCTGTTTGCTTCTGGACCCAGGCCTGCTGCAGGTGGGCAATGTCTTGGGTGTTTTGCGTCAGTTTGTTTCTTTGAAAACAAAAACAAATAAAACATTTATTTATTATTTATTTATCTATTTATTTATTTATTTATTTATTATTTCTTTTTTATTATCTATTTATTTATTTATTTATTTATTGATAGTGATTACGCTTTGCAGCGACTCGCGCAAGCGAGGCTTCGCAGCTGCTCTCCACGACAAAAAGAGGGTTTAGGGTTTAGGGTTTAGGGGTTAGGGGTTAGGGTTTAGGGTTTAGGGTTTACCGCAGCTGTCGAATCGTGCCGTCGAGCAGCCCCGAGGATTCGTCTCCATGTGCACTTCTCTTTGCGTCATATTCTCTGCAAACAAACTTAGAGAAAAACCCTAGGGTTTAGGGTTTAGGGTTTAGGGTTTAGGGTTTAGGGCTGAGGACGTATGCTTAGGGCCTGGGATATAGGGTTTGGAGTTAAGGTTGGACGTCGAGGGCTTTGGATTTAGGGTTTACGGCTGGTAGTTGAGCGTTTAGGGTTTAGGGTTTAGGGTTTATGGTTTAGGGTTTAGGGTTTAGGGTTTAGGGTTTCACACATGCCGTGAAGCCCCAGTGCATGCAATTACAAATATAAGGAAATAATATTGGAAAAAAGCTGAAAATAAAAAAGAATAGAAAAATAAATTTAAACAAAATAAATAAATAATGAAAAATAAATAAAATAAAGGGGGAAAATGTAAACGAAATAAACTAAATAAATAAACAGAAATAACTAAGATAAAAGGAGAAAATAAAAGATAATCAGAAGGAATAAATGAAATAGATAAAGAAAATTAAAAATGGAATAAAGTATATGATGAATAAATGAAATAATAAATAATAAATAATCAAAATTTAAAAAGTTAGATAATAAAAAGGAAAATAAATAAACAAATAAATAATAAAAGAAACAGAATTAAAAATAAAAGATAAAAATAAAAAATAAGTCAAAATAAATAATAACTAAATGAAAACAGATCAAAACCAAACCAAACAAAAAGCAAATTAAGTAAATTAATCAAATAAAGTAAATAAATTAGACAAAATAAACAAATTAAATTAATTAAATTAATTTAATTATTTAAATTAATTGAACTAAATAAATAAATAAATAAATAAATAAATAATGTAATTTAATTACCTGTTTAATTGGTCCACTAGCATTTCTTTGCGGCTAATGCGAATATGCCCTTTTCTTATTTCGGCCTTAAACTGCATTTCCAAATTATAAATAAATAAATAAATAAATAATAAATAATATAAAAATAAATAAATAAATAAATAAATTTAATTAATTATTTTTTTTAATTAATTGAGTAGTCTGTAATTCAATCAGCAGAAAAATTAATGCCGTGGAAGCAAAGACGCATACTGCTGCTGCTGCTGTTACTGCTGCTGCTGCTGTTGCTGCTGTTGCTGCTGCTGCTGGTGCTGCTGCTTTTGCTGCTATTCCTGCTGTTGCTGCTGCTGCTCCCGCTGTTTCGGCTGCCTTTGCTGCTGCTGCTGCTGCTGCTGCGGCTGCAGTCGCTGTGGCTTCTATCGCTGCTGCTGCTGCTCCTGTTTTGCCGTCGCTGCTGCTGCTGCTGCTGCTGCTGCAGCATTATGAAGTGCAACAAAGCAGCAGTTGTTTCTTGCTGCTGACCTGGTCAAGGAGGTTTTCCTTTTCTGCAATGTCTGCTTCTACTGCAGATGCTTCTGCTGCTGCTGCTGCTGCTGCTGCCTGCAGCCCCACGCGCTCGAGCTGCAGCTGTGCTGCATCAAATTCAATTTTAATTAATTCTTCTTCTTTCTTTTTGCACTCCGACAAAAGCTGCTTCGTCTCCTGCACCAAACCCTAAACCCTAAACCCTAAGCCCTAAACCCTTGACCCCTTTTAATTCGCCTTGTCTTACACCCTCCTCAAACCAGCAGAGCGCCAAACCCTAAACCCTAAACCCTAAACCCTAAACCCTAAACCCTAAGTCTCAAATCCATAGGCGTGACCCCTTCAGCCCCAAAGAGTAGCCGCAAACCCTAAACCTTAAACCCTAAACCCTAAACCCCAAACCCCAAAACCCAAACCCCAAACCCCAAACTCCAAACCCTAAACCCTAAACCCTGAACCCTAAACCCTAGTTCACCTTGTGGTGTGCAGTGCTGGCCCTCGCAATGGACTCTTGGTTGGCAATTGTTTCGAAAATCTTTTCGGAAATTAAATTTCTTTTTTGAATTTTATTTTGAAGTTCGCGAGCTGCAGCCTGCGGAGTTGAAACATTTCTTTTTATTTTTATTTATTTCGAGTTTTTTATTTTATTCTTTTCTTCTTTTGTTTTTTATTTTTACATTTTTACTTCTATTCTTTTGTTCTTTTCTTCTGTTTTTTATTTTTACTTTTTTACTTTTGTTCTTTTGTTCCTTTCTTCTTTTTTTTTTATTTTTACTTTTTTACTTTTATTCGTTTGTTCTTTCGCTTTCTTCTTCTTATTCTTTTATTCCTTTATTTCATATTTATTACATTCTTTCATTCTTTTACTTCTTTCAATTCTTTTATTCTTTTATTCTTTTATTCTTTTAATTCTTTTAATTCTTTTAATTCTTTTATTCGTTAATTCTTTAATTCTTTAATTCTTTAGTTCTTTAATTCTTTTAATTCTTTAATTCTTTTAATTTTTTTATTCTTTTAATTGAATTAATAAAAATAAAAACTTTATTTTAATTTATTCCTTTTGCCTTTCTTGGGGCGCCCCCAGCTGTCGTTACACTCCGCAATTTTGCTCTTCTTCCTTTTATTTCTTATTTATTTACTTATTTATTTTTTATTTACTTATTTACTTATTTACTTATTTGCTTATTTATTTATTTATTTATTTCTAAACAAATAAATACGTAATTAAATATATAAAAGCAAGTAAATATATAAATAAATAGATAAAAGCAAATAAATAAAAGCGAACAAATTTATTAATAAATAAATAAATAAAAGCAAGTATATAGAAAAATAAATAAATAAATAAAAGCAAACAAATAAATACACAAAGCCAATTAAAAATACAGAAAAGAACTAATTAAGCTTCGAGGCTTGTTTTAGGAGTACAAAGGACATGTGCACACAGATATGTCCCGCTGCAGACCACAAACCGCGGTTTAGGGTTTAGGGTTTAGGGTTTAGGGTGTAGGGTCTAGGGTTTAGGGTTCAGGGTTTAGGGTTTGGGGCTATAACGCTTAGGGTCTTAGGGCTTTGTGCTTAAAGCTTAGGTTTTAGCGCCTAGGGTGTCGAGTCTACGGTTTAGGGTTTAGGGTTTAGGGTTTAGGGTTTAGGGTTTAGGGTTTAGAAAGCGCGCCTCCCTCTGTCTCCTGAGATCGTCGTTGAGGCGTTCTGTTTGGGTGTTATCTTTTTCGGCCTTTTCGAGTGCAGCAGCAAGCAGCATTAGCTGCTGCTGCAGCTGCTGCTGCTGCTGCTGCTGCAGCTCCGTTTGCTGCTTAAGAGCAGCAACTTGGCTGCTGATGCTGTTGCGGCTGCTCGTCAGGTTTTCGTTTTCCTCTTGCAGGTCTTGCAGCAGCCGCTGCGCAGCAGCAGCAGCAGCAGCAGCGGCAGCAGCAGCAGCAGCAGCGGCAGCAGCAGCAGCAGCGGCAGCAACTCAATTAATTAATTAATTAATTAATTAATTAATTAATATGTTATTACTTTGATTTGTCGATAAGATTCTCAGCGGGCTTTCTAGTTCGCTGCTGCTGTCGTTAAGGCCGCACAGCGGGGAAGCAGCAGCAGGAGCTCGTGCTGCACTAGCTGCAACAGCAACAGCAGCAGCAACAGCAGCCGCAGCAACAGCAGCCGCAACAACAGCAAAAGCAGCAGCAGCAACAGCAGCACCAGCACCCGCAGCAACAGCAGCACCAGCAAAAGCAACGGCAGCAACAGCAGCACGAGCACCAGCAACAGCAACAACAGCAACAGCAGCAGCAGCAAAAACAGCAGCAACAGCACCGAACGCAGCGGCAGCAGCAGCAGCAGCAGCAACAGCAAGAGTCGAACCTCTACTTCTCGCGTGTCCATAGTTGCATTTTGCAATTTGTTGTTTTGGTTTTCAATTTCTTTTTTTATTTTTATTTCTGCTGCTGCTCTTCGCTCGAGGCCCTGCATGCAGCTGCCCAGCTGGATCCGCAGCTGCTTCTTTCCTGCTGCTATCTCCTCTATCTCCCCTGCAGCAGCAGCAGCGGCAGCGGCAGCAGCAGTAATGGCAGCAGCATCAATAGTAGTAGCAGCAGCAGCGGCAACAGCAGCAGCAACAAGAGCGACAAGAGCAAAAGTAGCAGCAGCAGCAGTGGCAACGGAAGCAGCAGCAGCGGCAGAAGATGGGGCTTGCTGCTGCAGCTGCTGCTGATGTTGCTGCGGCGGCTGCTAGAGCAGCAGCAGCACAAGCAGCAGCAGCAGCAGCAGCAGCAGCGACCGCAGCAGCAGCAGCAGCTGCTGCTGCAGCTTCTCTTGCTGCAGCAGCAGCTGCTGCTGCAGCAAGAGCAGCAGCAGGGGCGTACGCTGGGTTTCTTGAATGGCGTTTTTGGAGTTTTGTTTGTCTTCTTCTTGTGCTTTTATTTGAACTGTCAAAAGATCTTTTAGTTCATTTAATTCAAAAACTTGATTATTTAATTTATTTAAAAAGCGATCTTGCTGCAGCCGCAGGCTTTCTGCTGCCTTTGCTGCTGCTGCTTCCTTGTAAGTCTCCCGGCGCTTCAGCTGCACGCAGCAGCAGCTGCAGCAGCAACAGCTCTTTTAGTTTCTATTGTTTGCTGCTGCAGCAGAAGCTCTTTTACTTTTTTATGTTTTCTTTTTCTACCAGCTGCAGCCTGCAGCGGCTAAATTTCCCCAGCTCAGCTGCTTCTAACTTAAAACCTGTTGCTGCTGCTGCTGCTGCTGCTGCTGCTGCTGATGCTGCTGCTTGTGCTGCTGCTGCTGCTGCTGCTAGCTGTTATTACCTTGATTGCATCTTCTAGTTTCTGGGTGTGTCCCTGTGCTTTTTGCAAGACGAAATTTAATTCATTTAAATCTTCTCTCGCTTTGGCTAGCTGCTCTGTTGCTGCTGCTGCTGCTGCAGTCTCTGCATGCAGCGCTTGTGCAGCAGCAGCTAGGGCCTCCTCGCTAGCGGCCCGTCTCTAAGAAGCAGCAGCAGCAGCAGCAAACGCAGCAGCAGTAGCAGCAGCAACGACATCAGTAACACCAGCAGCAGCAGCAGCAGCAACAGCAACAAAGGCATCAAGGCACGAGCAGAAGTAGCAGAAGTTGCAGGACCCGCAGCAGCAGCAGCAGCTGCAGCAGCAGCGGCAGCAGCGACAGCAGCACCACCCGCAGCAGCAGCAAGAGAACCAGCAGCCGCAGCACCAGCAGCGGCAGCGCTGGAAGCAGCAGCAGCAGAACGAGCAGCAGCAGCAGCAGCAGCAGCAGTTTACTTGTTTGACAGTTTTTTCTTCTTCAGCCACTTGACTAATTCTTGCTTTCAGTCTTTTTAACTTTTGCTGCTCCTCATAAAGCTGCTTCCCCGTTTCTTCGTGCTGCCGATCGACCTTTTGCTGCTCCACCTTCTGCTGCTGCAGCGCGTGCTGCAGCTGCTGCAGCTGCTGCTGCTGCTGCTGCTTCAGTGCTGCTTGAGCCCCCCGCAGCAGCGGGTGGTCCGGCGGGAGCCCTGAGGTGTACGTACACCCCAAGTGTTTTAGTTTTAATTTATTATTTCATTTATTTAAATAAATTAAAAACTTAAATTAAAATCAACATTTCAACAAAAGACAATTCAAAATATCCAAATGAATTAAATTTGTAATTCAGAGACAAACTTTGTTTCATTGTTTCTTTTATTCTATTAAATTAACCTTTTTTAATTTTTAATTAACTGCATTTAATTAATTATTAATTCTCTTATTTCAATTAATTAATTATTTTATTTGAATAAAATAATTCTTTCTTTTTAATGAATTAATTTTCTTATATTTTCTTTTTTTTTTTTTTGTCTGCCACAAAAAGTCCATTTGCTGGTGCCTTTGCAGCAGCAGTTTATTTAATTTTGTCTTTTCTTTTCAATTTAATAATTTATTTATTTTTATTTGTTTTTAATTAATTTTGATTAATTTTAATTGTTTTTAAATACATTTATTTATTTATTTTTAGTTTTATTTATTTGTCATTTTATTTATTAATTATTATTTTATTTATTTATTTTGCTGTTTAGCTGCAAATTCTCGCCTGGAGGCCCCGGGGCTGCCAGCTGCTGCAGCTGCTGCTGCTGCTGCTGCTGCTGCACCTCCATCATTCTTGTGTCTCGTTTGTTTCTTTTTGTTTCTGTTTTTCTTTTTTTTAATAATTTTTCTTTGTTTGAGTATTTTTGCTTCTTTTGCTGCTCCCGTTGCGGCAGCAGGAGCTCCAACGGGCAGCTGCTGCAGAGGGCAGCAGCAGCACAAGCAACATCATAGCGTATCAAATAGCAGCAGCAACAGCATCTGAACTATACACCACAGCAGCAGGTGCAGCTGCAGCAGCAGCAGCAGCAGCAACAGCAGCCCGTTCGTTTTTTCGATTGGCCAGTCAGTTGTCTCCCACAATATGAATAGAAATTTGTGGACTCATTAACTAATTACTTAATTAATTAATTAATTAATTAATTAATTATTTTACAACTAATTGTACAAAGATAATTACAACTGAAAAAAGCAAAAGAAGGAACTATTACTTGTTTGTGCTGCTGTACACGAGTATCTTACAGCAGATCTAGATCTATTTTGTTTGTTTTTGCAAAAGGCCAAAAGTGTTTCAAAAATACCAAAAAAGAAATTTGTTTTTAATTTAAATCATTTAGCTTTCTTCTTTTCAAGAAGAAAAAGAAGAAGAAGCGAAATTTCATTTGTGCAGCAACACGACACACGAGCGCATGCAGCCCCAAAGCCCCGCAGCAGCTTTTCCTTTTTACTTTGCTGCTGCTGCTCGTAAGTCCATATTTAATTTCTAATTTATAAAAGTGTTTTAATTTTAAATTCGAAAGAACGAAAAAAAGAGGGTTTGTTCCTCTGCGATGCCGAGGTGTACGTACAGCTCAGGAAGACCAGCGGTGTACGTACACCTCAACAAGACCAGCCACCGCCAGCTCCTGAATTTCACATTTTGAGAAAAGCTAATTCACAAGTTGAGACTTTAGCTTTTTAAGATTGATTTGGAGTTTTATTTTGCCTTTTTAACCCAACTAATGCAGCTGGGGAACCCGTGGTGACCCTCTAAGGGTCACCTCTCGCAGGGTCACCTGGGGCCCCTAATTGGGGGCCCCCTGGGGCCCCCAACTAGGGGCCCCTGGAAGGCCCCCAATTAGGGGCCCCTGTGGCCCCCCCATTATGGGCTCCAGAGGCCCCCCAATTTGGGGACTCAGGGGCCCCCCAATTAGGAGCCCCAGCGGCCCCAGGTGACCCCAAATTGGGGGTTCTCCAGGGGCCCCTAATTGGGGGCCCTCCAGGGGTTCCTAATTGGAGGCCTCCCAGGGGCCCCTAGTTGGGGGTCCCCAGGGGCCACCCCCATCGGGGCCCCTGGTGATCCACTGGGGGAGTGAAATGTGTTTTTAGATTTTGTAGATTCAGTTTTATATGTCTACGGGTGCTGTGGTGTACGTACACCTGAGTTGGTGGCATTTAAAGTCTTATTTCTTTTCTGTTTTGTTTGCTGGTTTAAAAAAAGGCATTTTATTTTATTTTATGTTTATTATTTGCAGGAGAGAGACAGCTGCAAATTATAATTGTGCATTTTATGTTCCTTTTTTATCTTATTTATTTGCTTCATTCCATTTAATTCGATTTTTTTAATTTTAGTTTTTATTTATTTAATTCTTTCCATTTAATTCA